AGTTTTGACAGTTCCGTCCGTACCAGATTTACCAATGATTTTTTTTTTTTTAATAAATGCAGTTTGACTTCTCACAGTAGTTTGGATCAGATGGTCTAAGGTAGACATTTATGGCAGGATAAAGGAAATGTTTTATTGTGAATGTTATGCAAAAAAAAAAAAAAAAAAAAAAAAAAAAAAATCTTATCCTATTACAACAATAATTTCCACTTGTCATTTTTCTGTTAGTGTCAGTATGGCCACTCCTGATGTTGCTTTCTTGATGTTTTTAAAGGTTTTTCTAAAAGTAAATTTACTGAGTGAAATTATGTAATCCTCTTGATTTTTATTGATTTTTGTATATATATACATTTTTATTTTTTATTTTCTGTGGTACAGCCGATGATGCATCTGACTTTTGTTGTTAATGTAGTGCAGATTCTATCATTTTATCTTGGTAGAAGGATTAATTTCCATCATTGTATGGCTCTGCAGTGAGCTTTTTTTGGGGGCTGTGAGACAAAATCAGGTGGGAAGACTTTCTCTTAAATCATGTCAGAATTTTCCTTTGTGAATGGAAAAGAGAGTTTCAATCAATGATGGAATTTCATCTTTCTTTCAGGAAATTTCCTACCTCTAAATATGGTCCCCTTTGAATGCCTTTTTTTTCCCCTTTTTTCTTTTCAATCTTTGTGTGTGTGTCTGTGTCTCTCTCTCTCTCTCTCTCTCTCTCTCTCTCTCTCTCTCTCTCTCTCTCTCTCTCTCTCTCTCTCTCTCTCTCTCTCTCTCTCTCTCTCTCTCTCTCTCTCTCTCTCTCTCTCTCTTCTCTTTCTCTCTTTCTCTTTCTCTTCTCTTCTCTTTCTCTTTCTCTCTCTCTCTCTCTTTTCTTCCTCTTCCTCTCTTTCTCTCTCTCTCTCTCTCTCTCTCTCTCTTCTCTCTTCTCTCTCTCTCTCTCTCTCTCTCTCTTCTCTCTCTCTCTCTCTCTCTCTCTCTCTCTCTCTCTCTCTTCTCCTCTCCTCTCCTCCCCTCTCTCCCTCCCTCGTCCCTCCCTCCCTCCCTCCTCCCTCCCTCCCTCCCTCTCTCCTCTCCCTCTCCCTCTCCCTCTCCCTCTCCTCTCTCTCCCTCTCCCTCCCTCTCCTCTCCCTCTCCCTCTCTCTTGCTCATATATCTTCTATTTTAAATGAATTGTTTATCCATAGGAAGTATGTGGTAAGGCAAAGAGCAATAGAGGAAGAAAGATAGGGAAAAGGGAAAGAGAACTTTGCCCTGCATAAGTGAGGAGAGCAGTGGGCTTTTGTTGCAGTATGATTTGATATTCAGTGAGGAACCATATGTAGAGGAGGATGTTCATAATGTAGAATTTAAAAAAAAAGAAAAAAAGAAGAAGAAAAAGAAACTTGAAGGCGAAGTTAAGATGGCTTGTAATCCAATTGCTCTTCCTAGATGGCATCTTTGGCAGCTACCAATTGGCACAAACCTCTGCCGTTGATTCCTTGCTTATCCTGGAGTACGGCATCAGGAGTGTTCACCCAGGTTAGTCCCTTGATGGTAAGACTGACACATGGCTATTGAGGCAACAATACCAGGCTTTAGGTTTTATTTTAACACATTTTTTTTCTGTTTATATTTGTCAGTTTGCTTGTTTTATGGCACATATATTGATCTTGTTAATTATAGCTCATAGAATTACAAATAGCATTAATAAGGAAAGCAGAAACAAAATACTTGAGATTAGTAACAATACCACTGTTGAGCATTTGTGGTTGCTTAGATATATATATATTGCACCTAAATTTTAGTATTTTGCCTCAAGCAGTCCAAGTGTTTTAAGTTGGGTGAGGTTAGAGGTATGCAGTAGGTATTCACTCGGAGGTCTGGTAGCTGGTACCCTTCTGCATTAGGAAGCAAAGGAGGCCAACAATTTTACCCAGAAAATAATGAGTCAGATGATCCCACAGATGGCATCTGCGGCTGCCACCGCCTGGCACAATCCCCTGGCTGTTGTGCCTTGCCTCTCGTGGACGACTGCTTCTCAGTGCTTCACGCAGGTACCTTGCGCATGATGGGCTTGATGCCAAGACACTCATGTCATGCATAGGACAAGATTTGACTTTTACTGCATAGGAAGAAATGATAAAAATTGCATTCACCAAAATTGAAAATTTGTCAAGATCATCATTATTTTCTGTAAAAGCTTTATATGACCATTTTCAAGCAATTAGACAGTCTACTGTTGTAGGATGATGTCAGAATGTATGCAAATTATTTATAGCCATATGTTTAGCCACTGATGCTTATAGGTATTCTGAAGTTATCATTTAAAAGATTTTAGGGAATAGACATATAGAGTAAAATGCTTGTTCTTCAAAGATCATAAAGAAGTAAGTATGATAAAGGAGACTTTTAGTGAAATGAATTTAGAATATAAAGAGATTTTAATCATATTGTCCCAGAAAATTTGTATGAAATGACAATTACCAAAATGTATTTATGTAAAGCCATAGAATCAGTAAATAATTCA